ATGGAATGGAGGTGGCCACGGACCAGCTGGATGGCCCACCACGCCGTGCTCAACGGGCAGCACCCCGAGAGCCACCACCCCGGTCTGGCTCACAACTACATGGAACCAGCGCAGCTCCTACCTCCGGATGAAGTCGACGTCTTCTTCAACCACCTGGACTCCCAGGGCAACCCCTACTACGCCAATTCCGCCCATGCCCGGGCCAGGGTCTCCTACAGCCAGGCACACGGTAAATCGGCACCCACCGCCCTCCTTTGCACCCCCGGCCCCTTCCCCGCCCGCCTCCGCCTGCGCTCCCCGGGCCCCTCCGTGCGGGTGTCCTACGTGGAGGCGAGGAGTTCCACTCGGGGGCCGCTTCGGTGTGTCGGAGCTGGGGGGAAAGGAGATCTAAGAAAACAGGATGGAAAGGGAGGCACGGGTGGATTTTAACCCTAGAGATAACCAAGGACTGGCGGAGGGGAGGGAAAGAAAGGGGGGAGGTGAGAGAGGAAGGGGAAATAGTGTGCGCACAGGCTAAAACTTCTCAGACACGGCTACTTCCCGGATGCAAAATACAAACCGACTCAAATCGGCGATGGATTTTATTTGGGGGTGTTTTTAAGGAGCGGGAGAGAGCGTGTTGCAGCAGCTCGGAAGACAGCAGAAGGGGGTTTGCTGCTTATTCCCAGGGGTGGGGTGGGGTGGGAGGAAAGGGGGTGCCTCCTGCCCCAGGTGGCTGGGTCCCCCTCCTGCTGCCCATCGCTCTTTCTCGCTGGGCTGGCTGTTATCTCCCTCGGAGGGGACAGGGCGAAGGGGCCGTTGCGCCAGTCTGGCTGCTCTTCTCTGGCTTGTGAAATCTCTCCCCATGCCCGGCTCCCCTCCGGCTGCCTGCAGACTGGGGAGCTGCCCGGGCCGGGAGCTGGGGGACTTCCCAGAGCCGCTCCGGGCTGAGCTGCCCCACGCTGATCCCAAACGCTCTTGTGTTCCTACAGCCCGCCTGACCGGGAGTCAAATGTGCCGGCCTCATCTTATCCACAGCCCCGGGATCCCTTGGCTGGACAGCAGCAAGGCGGCACTGTCTGCCCATCACCACAACCCCTGGACCGTCAACCCCTTCACCAAGACACCCCTGCACCCCTCGGCGGCCGGAGCGCCCGGGGCCATCGGTGTACCCAGGCAGCAGCACGTCCAGCACCGCCTCCGTGTCTTCGCTCACCCCGGCCTCGCACTCCGGCTCCCACCTCTTTGGCTTCCCCCCGACCCCTCCCAAGGAGGTGTCCCCGGACCCCAACTCCACCAGCGCTGCCTCCCCTTCGTCCTCCGCTGGGGCCCGGCAGGAGGACAAAGACAGCATCAAGTACCAAGTGTCGCTGTCGGAGGGGATGAAGATGGAGAGCGCCAGCCCGCTCAGAAGCAGCCTCACCAGCATGGGGGCCCAGCCCTCCACCCACCACCCCATCCCCACCTACCCCTCCTACGTGCCGGCCGCCCACGACTACAGCAGCAGCCTCTTCCATCCCGGCAGCTTCCTGGGGGGCCCAGCGTCCAGCTTCACCCCCAAGCCACGAAGCAAGGCCAGATCCTGTTCGGGTAAGTGTGGCACCCCGTGGCCTGCCCTGTCACGCACCGGCTGTATCCCCGGGGTGGAAGGGCCGAGGTGAGGGCCGTGCTGCCGGGGGGGGGGTGTGCGTGCCTGTCATGGTTGGCTTTGCTGGCTGTTTGGGGGTGAGGCTTGCAGGCTGCTGCGAGGCTGGGTGCTTGTGTCTGCTCTCTTTGGGGCAGAGGAGCAGGCGACTGCTTGGTCCCACTTTTCTGGGTTTTTAAACTAGGAGATGGAGCTTGCACCAGGCTTCTGTGGGTGCCAACACATCCATAGTGGCCGCTGAGCCACCGGCACCAGCCCCAGAGCCCTCAGAGGGGGCCGAGGGACACAGGAACCGGTGCAGTGTGAGGTGGCAGATCGAGTCGTACAAGGAAGGATTTATACGAGGAAAAAATATTTCCCTCAGAGAAAAGCTAGCCTCAGCCACCCGGGGGGCTCGGGCCCGACCCTGCTTCCTCAAGTCAGTAAACCCCCCCACGGATTACACGATTATTACATTAATTAGCGATAGGTGTTTCTCTCTCAATAATTTCCACGTCTCTTCATTAATACAAACCAAGGCCCCAGCACAAGATGAAAGCGAAACTTACCCGGCCGGTCCGCTTCTAATGGCAGAGGGCCTTATTTCCTTCACTTTTTACAGGAGCAAAAGTTCAAATATAGTTTACATACCAGTGCAAAAGACTAAGGTGTCCAGTCATGGCTAACTTACTCCAGTCTAACTTTAACTAGAAAACTCCTTCCCCCCCCCCCCCCCCCCCCCCCACACA